GCATTCTTTGTAAGTGGGCAAACCTGCAAAATCAGCAAGGGGTCAAATACTTATTTCCCCCACTGTATTTGTACCTAGTTGAAGCAGATATTGATCGTCTCAGTTTCTGAATACATTTCTTTTTTTTCCCCCTTTCTAAGGACTACGTGTGATAATCAGATCAGTTTCTGAATAGATTTCTTTTTCCCTTTCTAAGGATTTTTTATTTTTTATTTATTTAATCAGGACAGTGCACATTAATGAACAATCTCATACAGATTGTAAATGAGCCAGATTATAGCATAGTTGCTAGTTTACATCTGTGGTCCTGAGGCAGGAAGATCAAACAACACAAAATCACAACATACAAAATCAGTCCAAACACACGTTCAGACAATGACATTACAAAATTAAAATCAATTCAATTAAATTCAATTTCATTTATATAGCGCCACAACACAACAACAGTTTTCTCACTGCGCTTTCCAAACAGAGCAGGTCAGACCCTACTCTGAAGTTAATTACAGAAACCCAACAATTAATCAAATCAGTTTCTGAATAACTTTCTTTTTCCCTTTCTGAAGGATTACGTGTTGTCCCCTTCGAGGACTTACGCCAAGAGACATACAGTGGGGGAAATAAGTATTTGACCCCTTGCTGATTTTGCAGGTTTGCCCACTTACAAAGAAAGCAACGATCTATAACTTTAATCATATGTACATTCCAACAGTGAAAGACAGAATCCCAAAGAAAATTCCAGAAAATCACATCGTATGTATTTACAAAAATTGATAACCATCTGATGAGGAAAAATAAGCATTCTTTGTAAGTGGGCAAACCTGCAAAATCAGCAAGGGGTCAAATACTTATTTCCCCCACTGTATTTGTACCTAGTTGAAGCAGATATTGATTAGTTTCTGAATACATTTCTTCTTTTTTCCCCCTTTCTAAGGATTACGTGTGATAATCAGATCAGTTTCTGAATAGATTTCTTCTTCCCTTTCCTCATAGATGAGGAAAAATAAGCATTCTTTGTAAGTGGGCAAACTGTATTTTTACCTAGATATTGATCGTCTCAGTTTCTGAATACATTTCTTTTTCCCTTTCTTTTTTTATGACTTGAACTTTAAAATTTTGTTTTTATTCTTCTTTCCTTTCTAAAGATTACGTGTGATGATCAGATCAGTTTCTGAATACATTCCTTTTTCCCTTTCTTTTTTTATGACTTGAACTTTAAAAATTAGTTTTTATTCTTTTCCCCTTTCTGAAGGATTACGTGTTGACCCCTTCGAGTACCTACTCCAGGACCCTTGGGGTGGTGGACCTGACGGGCTTCAGGGACGCGGAGCAGCCCCTGTGCCCCTGCGGCTCCAGTTTGGGCCGGTGGGGCCGGACCCAGCTGCTGACCCAGATGTGCTGCGATATCGCGGAGGCCCTGCAGGCCCCGGACGCGCCCCTGCAGGCCTTCCGGACGTCCGTGCACGTGCTGCTGAACGGGTTCGTGACGGGAAGGAGCTACGAGGTGGTGGCCCAGGTGTGTTTTGCCTTTCTAGAGAGAAATAAAGGTGGTGAGTGACTGTATTCCAGTCAGTGGTGGAGAAAGTACCCATACAATGTACCCTAACCCTAACCCTAACCCTAACCCTAACCTAAGTAAAAGTACAAACACACAGACAAAAATTGACTCAAGTAAAAGTCAAAGTACCACATTATTATTTTACTTAAGTAAAAGTAAGAAAGTACAAGCTTTTAAAACTACTTAAGTGTTAAAAGTAAAAGTACTTGCCAACCATAATACCTAACGGCTTATATAATGTCATTAAGTGTACCTATCGTATTTAGTTTGAATAAATCAGTAATGTACCGTTTTAATGAGCAATGCTGCAGATAAAGCATGTTTTTATTGTGTTTACCCCCTGTGACAGTTTAGATTTAGATATTTTATGCAGGTCCTGGTACTGTGCTGCTCTTCTTGAGGGAGGGCCTAATGGTTATTTCCCGCTTTGGATTGGTTCAGCGGACTGATTCTGCTCTCGCCATTGGATACTTTCAAACTAACGAACAAATAAAAAAACCGAAATGCGTCTTGGATGTAACGAGTAACGAAACGCTGTATAGAAATGTAGTGAAGTAGAAAGTACAGATACTTACTGTTAAATGTAGTGGAGTCAAAGTAGAAAGTATCCATTATTAAATCTACTTAAGTAAAGTACAGATACACGGAAATTGTACTTTAGTACAGTAACGAAGTACTTGTACCACTGCTTCCAGTGTGTTTTGCCACCCTTAAATGTGACCCCCACCTATTCTTCTCTCACCCCCCTCTACCTCACTAATTTACCCAATACTACGTTCAACATTTTCTGGTCTATATTATCTGGTCTATAATATTTTATTTTACTATTTATTATTATTATTATTATTTATTTTATTTTATTCTATATTTTTATTTATACATTGTATGTCCTTTCTTGTTTCTCATAGAAGTGTTGTGCACCAAACACAAAATCAAATTCTTTGTAGGTGAAAAACCTACTTGGCAATAAACCTGATTCTGATTCTGATTCTGATATGTGAAAGTCCTTTTTCAGTAAGGAGAGACTGTTTCAGTAGAGAGGGGGATCTATATTTTTAAAGATTGTTCATTTGTACATTCAGATCTATATTTTTAAAGATTGTATTTTTCAGTTTTATAATTTCTGTCCTATATTTTTATTTCTACATTTTATTCTTGCTTCTCATAGAAGTGTTGTGTTGTGCACTAAACACCAAG